TAAGTGCCCCCACGTACCCGTCTAGATGGTTCCAAGTGTCCCTCTACCCAAGTTCATCTCTAGTTAGTCCAAGTGTCTCCATAAGTGCTGATCTGGTTGGTCCAAATTGGTAAACAAAGGCCGGTTCAAGAAGCTCCTGTGTGTCCATCTGGTCGTTCAAAATAATAGTTCCACATTTTGGGAAAATGATCACTTTCTTGCTGAGAGTTGGATGAGAAGATCAATTCCACGCTTATATCTGTACAGTAAATATGAACGCTACGACCAGTTGAGTTATCTTAGCTGAGCATAAAGATAAAGACTTCATATCTCACTTGCTTAATCCGCTCACTACCCAAAGTGTGAAAATGTCAAGTTGTATAACATAACGTATTGATTACTGTGCTGTAATTCTGCTTTTCATGTTTGTTTTTGTTGCTCTAAAAACCTGGAATGGCCAAAATCAAGCTGTATATAATTATTTCTGAAGACTTTCTATTTTTAAAAACTACATCAGTGTGTTGTTGTTCATTTGAAGAGTTTAATTAATGTGAGATGTTAATCTCCAAGTGTTATTTGGCTTGTGTGTGTAGTTTTGGCACAATGAGCCAAATTCTGCAACAAGTGTTTCAGCAATACTAAAAATGATAATATGGGAGATTATGACTAGATGACTTTTAAAACCAGGGTCGCTGTTTTCCCTGTTTCCTGTCATTATGCTAAGCTAAGATAACCGGCTGCTGGCTGTGGTCTCATATTTGCTGTACAGACGGGAGAGTGGCATCAGTCTCCACATCTTGCTCTTGACAGGAAAGCGAAAAAGCTAAATATAAAAGTAAATCGGTGCCCTTTTCCATATTAGCCATTGCCCCTCAGGTGCAGTGACATGCAGAGATTTTCTGTCTCAAGTTCATTTTTACTGTACATTAATACTCCACAAGTCTTTCACAGATCATCTCTGATTGTGCTTTGAGGTCACCCTAAGTGGGATGTCGTGCCACTTTGAATAAAATCGTTACCACCTCATTGCACATATATGATGTTACTCTCACAGATTAAACATCTCATCCCAACTCACAAAGTAAACTAAAGTGATCAGGCACATCTAAGTCACATGACATTTACCAACTCCTTCAGCACATCTTACAAAAGATCCCCTCATCAGGATGTGTTTTCATGACGTTCATGGAGAATTTTTTAATTTCTTCAGCATCTTTTAAGTGTTGACACTGGTCTACATAAAACCACACCCTTTCATCCTCAAACAAGCAAAGGCATCCTACTATTTGATCAAGGTCTAGCATATTGAGTCCTTGTTGGCTTTGACCGATAACATCACTGGTGTTTTCTGAGAGATTTGTCTTCCTGGACTCACCCTGTTTCTTCGTCAAAGGCAAACCAGAGGTTTACTGTGCATTTAACAGAGGTTTCCAGTAGCACTAGCAACATCTAATGCATTTTTTGAGTGGGAGACATAATGTGACACATCTGAATGGTAATGGCACATCAACACCATGAAAAGTATAAGAGTGTGTGTTATCTAAAATAAAGAGCATCAACTTGCTGAAGCCTTTGCTGGCACAATGTGTTCGAATGCTTCTTTGAGGCCTTTCACAATTGATCGTTTCCGCATTTTACAGATTGCTTACTGATGCAACATCTAGTGGTTCCTCGGGGATAAGAAGGGAAACTGACCGACAGAAAAGAAGAAGGAACTGAGAGGGTTTACAAGAAGGGCTCATGACGTTTACTGGACCACATATTCAATCAGCAATCACTGGAACATGACAATCAATAAATCAAAGTTTGACTTCTACGGCTTCTCTCCTTGAGTGGAGCCCAGATGGCTTTTACTGGGGAGCAGTTCTTTTTAATGAAATGCAACCATACAATACAACAATATTTCATGTTTAATGTACTTTGTTCATCTACGCTGACCTCTTGAAAATGATCCCTGTACATTATTCAATTTTGTATTGTCACTCCAATGACATATGTCAACAAGCTGCATAATCAGGGAATGCTCTATTTCCTGTTGTGTTTTATGTACTGATGTTTTGTTGATGTTTCAAGCTGAATAAACTGCTTTTACTGTATTAGAACGCTGTCTTTTGGAAATGAAGCAACAACACAAATGCCATCAGTCAACTTTGGTGGCTTTGGTTAAATGCTGTACATCAAGCAATTTGTATTTCATTAAAAAAGATGGTGATTTTCATAAACTGAATGATCCCTGAATGCCTTTATTAGAGAGCTGTTAGTGAAGAATGAGGTTTCTTGGCACCACCATGTCTCCCACTTACAAATGGGAGGCAAACATGACCCACTATTGAAAAAGCACATCAAAAGTCATTTCCTGTTTGTTTAAGAGGTTCAATGTGGTGTTTTACCCTACATGCCGCTTCTCAAGTCAGTCGGGAATGACAGTTGTCACAACAACAGCTGGACAGGGTTGTTCATGAAGCATCTTGGCTCTGACCGTGCGTTTGTTTCCTCCCTTTATGGCACATGCATCGAAAAACACGCACTGACTTGTTTTTAATTTTTTATTCCTCCCTCTGGCCAGAGACCTCCGCCTCGCAGTCTGTTCGGCTGTGTAACCCAGATGGACAAGGCACTATCTAGGACTGCCAGTTAGCACTCTCATCATGAAGTACCACTGGAATATATATAATATCCAATATCATAATTATACTAACAACTCACACCTTTACATTGCATTGTCATCAGAGATCTTAGCCCTACTAACTTTAGCTTTCTATTCGTTGGCAATAATGCAAGGCTTATCCCTTAAGCATAAAACATATTGACTTTTAACCATTCCCTTTCCATCTATGTTTTATTATTTTGGTTCCAAACCAAGCAGTTAGTTCATCAGAGCTCCCGTATTTCCTAAAAAAAGAAGCTTAAAAAGCGTATTAGCGTGATCGAACAAAGGAGGAATATGATAACACTCGCAATGCTTTTTGTGGGACATTGTGTAAAATTAACATCCCAGTAAGAGCTCCCTGATTGAATTATGGTGAGTCTTAAAGCGTGGCAAGATACTGAGCTGTGAAAAAGAGACAGAGAGAGGAAGAGAGAGTGAAAATAAATGTAACAAGACATTATGAAGCCAGTGACTCAGGGATGTGAAGTAGACAGCAGACTGACAGGATCTCTGGTTCATTCTTAGGATATTAATGGTTCAGTCTCCATGTTCTAACCTGTGCCTGTCTCCTTTCATCATCCACAACCACACTGAGACACGAGTATAGACTGTGCGAACATGGTCAGGTTGAGATGTTTGAAACAACGCTCTTTGTAGTATACAATATTTAAAAGATTCAGATACTTGTATCCTCTTTTTCTTTACTTTCTGTGGTTTTCTATCTTTATTGTGTTGATGGAGATGGTGAAAGGAATGCGAGCAAGTTTGGGAAAAACTGACAGAACTCGTGGAAAGAATTTGCTCGACATACACATAGCCATAGTGTAATAAGAAATGAGTTTCCTAAGCCACACATGAAAGCATTTCAGCAGCAGAGGGGTCACAGCGCAGGGCACCCTGCCCATAAATGGCTCATGTTCCATATTATATTAGAAAGAAAATGGGAAGCCTTGTGAAGGACAAAATATAATTAGTTGGAGGTCAATCAAAAAAAGAGAGTGAGTTAGGGTTAATACATAATTCATATGACCTCTTCACTCGCGCTGACCTTTTTTGGGTAACAGCCCATCCCGCTGAGGAGTGTTACCATGGCGCCTGGCCCCTAGAGGAAATAGAAATTGTCAACAAAGAGGCTTTTTGTCGCTTGAACTTTTGTGCGAGATAAGAAACATGATTGTTTGGCAGAAATAGCTGAAATATACTCCTCCCTGTTGTTGACTGGTGGCAATTACACGGATGAAAGCTGTACATCGGCACACATTTATATTTGGAAATAGGAGATCCATTTTTCGTTGTTTTGTTCGTGTGTCATGCGACACTCTGAAAGAGGAACTTTCTTGCCTTGTCTTGTAATGAAGTGTCTGCGTTTGGTGCTTTCAAAACCTCATCCGTTTCTGTAGAAAGGTCGTTACATTTAGTGGAAAGCAGTAGAGAAACGATTGTGGGGATTTACGTGGACGTGAAATCATTTTGTTACAGTGAGCAGATCTAGTGAGGTCATGACAGCCTCGGATTGTGTGTTCTGGGGATCTTTTTTCAAGCGATCACAACTTTATTGCATTTATGGTTCTTCATCTATAATTTGAGTCACTTTTTTATGTCGACATGTGGAGTTGACGCATTATTCACCAGCTATAGTGCAGCCTCAACATTTGTCGCTGTTACAGCACCACACTCGCGCTCACTCTTTGACGGTCAGGATAGAGTGAAATTACTTATGACTGAGTGGTATTGTTTTACCAAAATGTACATTGTATCATCAGTTGAATTTTCCTCTACATATATATTGAGGTACACTGCCCTCTGTTGGCCTAAAGTATTACACACATACATCTTTTTGATTTTAGGTGATTGACGCTGACAGAAGAGCAGAAGATGATGCTAAAAGTTTCTGTGGTGGTGATGACTTTTTTTTACATGCTATATGACTTTTTTCGATATGTTATACTATGACTTTTTTTAACACGCTATAATATGACTTTTTATTACTTTCCGACATGCTATACTACTTTCACTTTTTTATTACTTTTTACAACATACTATGACTCTAGACGACATACAGATCTTTGATTGTACTCTTGACTTTTTAATGATCGACATACTGAACTGACTTTTTTCGTAAAATACTATGAATTTTTGACTTTATTTTAGACATACAATCCTATGAATTATGATTATTATACATACTATACTATGACTTTTGGATGACTTACTCTACTGACTTTTTTATGACATATGTCTGAAATTTCATGGCATACCACGATGTTTTTTTATTGTAGTCTGACATTTCTTATGAAATTTTTTTAATAAGCTTTTTCTTTTCTTTCAAACCAAAGCTAAGACATCCAAAGAAAACTTCACTGACAGCCCATCATTTTCAGATGAATTTAATACTGCAATTGCATTTGAAAGACATCGAGTATCCAAAAGTGGTTAGACCACCCACAGAACAAAGGCAAAGAGCTGTAGGTTGAACTGAGTATTCTCAACTTTCTGAAAAAGGAAGGCATAGACTGAAAAGAAACCAAGGGTTGCTTAGTTAAGTCTCGTCTTCTACTGCACCTCCCACAGACAGATAGCACACAACAAATGACCAATCACTTGACAGTTCCCTGCTGCTCAGTCACCTTCACAATGTCAGCACTTTGTCATGTAGTATTTACATGCAGCATTAACAAAATGACACATTTCATTGAGGATTAAAGCAGAGCTGGATCAAATCATTCCATACATTTGGTTTAATTTTGGAGTACCAGATAGATGGGGGTTTCTGCCATGGAGGAAATGCATAGAAAAGCTTTTTCACATTCAGATGCTTTCCTATGAATTGTACTACCATTAGATCATTTTCTATGAAACTTTCTACTTTTTTCATTTTGACATATGTGAAAAAACAAACCCATGTATTCTGAAAGATATAAAGTTCCCTCAACATCGATAGTTTGGGGTGTTTTTGTTGTTGCTCTGGCATTAAGCAGGCACTGAAGCACCACACATGAGTATTGTTGTTTTTGCTATTACAGGACTCTGCTAATACTTTCTTGTCTATACTGCATTAAGCGACCACATTTACCTTATCTTAGGACCACTGGCCTTTACCTAAGGGGTGTTCTACTTTTCCAAGTCTTAAAAAAGAAAAGTACATATGGCACTGATTTGTGAAATTATCTATAATACAAATAAAGCAAACATATTCTTGAACATTGCAGGTTCTTGGCAAAAGGCTTTGTTATGTGCTTTTTAATGTGCAGTTATTTTAGCAAAAATACTTTTTGCTGTCTACAGACAAAAGGCAGACTGTTACATCCATGTTAAATGCAGTTGCATACCACTTTTTTTGAGGTACAAAACCAGTTCAATGGTATTTCTCATGACTGGGATACGTCGAACTGAAACTCCTGCCTGAATCCATATTGGAAATCAACCCGTTTCGTCATCTTAGCCTCTGTTGCATAACTCTACGCTCTTGGCATTATGGCTGAAATGATTCATTCTTTTCTGACCATATTTCCATTGGAAAGAGTATCACATTCGTGACGGGCATGTCGATTAAATATCGCCTCTAATCTCAGATAGAAGTCATCAATAAATGAAGTGATGACTATGTTTACATAAAAATAAATGTTAACATTCCCGTCGTTTTCACCAAACTCAAGATTGGAATGTCATGGTGAATACATAAATACATTTACAATAAAACTTTTAAAAATATTACGCGGTCAATCCAAAATAACACTTAGATAAACATTTAAAATACAGTATTATACAACAAAACTGAAAAAGAGACCAAGTTTGAAACAACACTTCATGACAAAATAATCATACAGGATGTGAAATATACATTATTAATCTAACTTTTTTCATTTACAATTTTCATCCACTGACATACAATATATTACAGCGAGGATGGAGTTAATGGTGGGACAAGTGCATAGCAAAATAGATCATTTGACCAAGTTAAAGAAACGCATTAAACTGACAAACCAGCTTTAGAAAACAACATTAAAAACCATGTTTAAGGCAAATCTCATCATTTAAAATTGGCATAGTCCGAGAAAATATCCACAAAGTCTTGTACCACCCTGTAGCAGAAGTCATATTGTTCCTATGGAATAAATAGAGAAAAGATAATAGGTTAGGTGTTAGTCTGTGAAATCGGTTTCCTTCAACATGAAGCTAGAAACAGGAGTTGATGAATATGAGATACGTTACGTTTTTTTTACATTTTTGTAGCACTTCTTTGTGTTGATACTTACCACAGTTTGGACCATATGAGGCCTCTGCATGCGTAAACTCTTCACAGTTTGGAACACGTCCAGCAGGCCTTCTGCCTTGACTCGCTCCAAGATATTGCTCAGTGCAATGAACGTACCTGTTCGCCCTGCACCAGCACTGCAGCACACAAGCACAAAAAACTCTTTGAAACTAATTCAAGTACTAACAGTGGCTTGGAAATGCAGAAGTGTACACATTTGAATCCATCATATGCAAAACAAACATCACAACTGCAATTAAAAAAAAGGCTCAGATGTGTGTGTTTTGAAGCTATACCTGCAGTGTACGACGATGGGATGGTTCCCAGACTGCTGCTGCTGTCTCTGCACTGAGGCGATGATGTCAATCATGCCTTTCCCTTCGGCCGGGATGCCGACCTCCGGCCAGCCGTGGAAGTGGAAGTGCCTGATCACCCTTGTCTGTTTCTCCTTTGAGAGGAAATGAACAGGTAGGCGAGAGATCATAATATCTTTCAAATATGATTTCATAGCAGCGTACGAAAGCATAATGGCAGATGCAACGTCGGAGTAAGTTAAGTGTGCAGCAGATTAGTGGTGGACTGATGGGCGCTGTCTGACTCATTAACTGCTGTGTGATGGTGTGAAGTTAATTTGCTTACCGGGACAAAGGTGAGTACCAAGTCTCGCAGACTGAATGTGTCACACAAAGTGTCTCCCTTCAACTCGACGGTGTAATTTCCGTAGGTGACCGAGTCCTCTGTGGGCCAGTAATGACAACATTTGTCCTGCAATGAACAGACAAAAACAGAGTTAAGCGTTTGTTCACTGCTGGCATTAAGTTAAAAACACAAACTGCAGCTTAATACATGGAAGGTAAATATTCTAAAGTACTTTTGGTTAAAAAAATGAAATACTGCACAAACATGAACTGATAATAAAAGTAGAATTTAGTGAAAGAAGCAGGACATTGGAACACAGATGGTTTATGTTGCACTGCTATGTTAACCATAGCTTGCTTGCAGTCATCACAGCTTACCTGCTCCCTCTCCTGGAGCTCAGTGAGCATGACAATGGAGTGACATTTCCATTCCCACACCATTCTCCAGAAATCCTCCACTGTGTGCATCAGAGGGCCCTGGGTGGCAATGAAGTAGTCCTTCTGCCTGTAGCCCTGAGTCACAGCAAACACACACACACACACACACACACACACACACACACACACACACACACACACACGTCCTCAGCTTTTCTCAAGCCCAACAATGTGTTGATAGCAATACCCATGAACTACTGCAGGTATTAAATGCAAGAAGGAAGGCAATTAGGGAATAAAAACGTGCTTACATCTATAAAAGATGCATTGACGTAGTCCGTGAACTCCTGACCTCTTCTCATGGAGAGAATAACTCTGTTGAAGTCATCTGAAATGAGAACAGAACAGGAAACTCTTCAAAACCATTTGGAATGACGCAGCTTATAAACATGTTCACAGAGTATCAAGTACACAAAGTGGCCGGAGTGACTCCCTGAGAAAGAAAGCACAAGATTGGAAACAGATGTTCAGATTCTAAACATAGTGACACTGACAGACAAAATAATCTGGAGGTCAAAATCCACTGCTGCTGTTATTATTAGTAGTAGTTGTAATTTTCCCATCATTTTTCTGCTTACTGCTCTCAAAATGGCTACACAAAATGAATTTAATTTAATTGAATCTTCCACCAGTTTACATGAAACAGGCATCAGATGCATTTTGTCCTTTGGGTTTCCTTCTTTCTTACATGGAATAATTTGCAGAACTCTGTTCTTCTTCATGTTGGCAGGAAGGTTCCCCGTTCTCATGTTCTCCTTCATTATTCGCATGTTGGTCAGTTTCTGGGCAGAAATCAAAGCAAACAAAAATGTTACAAACCTGCAAATATCCACCATCCTTGTATTCCCAAATCTAAATAGGGTAATACAACAAGTTACGCTGTGAATTATAAATCACAATTAGTAGATGAAAGTTAGCGGATCATTGTACAAATATCAGAAGAATGAGAAGGATTTATTTATTTAAGGCTTGAGTTTAAGATTCTAGAAGTAAATCAGTAGGTTCTGGCAAAAGGCCCTAGTAAGAATAGATTTTTCAGTGACGAATAAAGTTTATATCTATAACACCTTTCAACAACAATGGGCTTCAAACAAGTGCTTTGTAAGTATACTGTATGTAGGTAACGGCACATGTTAAATGGCCTGTTTTTTGTCTGCACATGGAGCAAATATGGCTCTGGAGGAACTAATCTATTGTGTATTTTTTAGTTTCTGTGTCTAATTGCTGAGGGACAATGGGGAAAAGCACCAACTAAAGATGGTGTAAAAACTCTCTTCAGTTGCCTGAGATGGTTTTCTTTGCTCAATTGTTTTTGTTGTGCAAATATATTTGATAAAATAAAATAAAAACTCATTATGAAATAAAAATATGAATCTAATAGTGTTACATGAAGTCTGATGGATTTAAACTCAACAGTTGTATAGTATTTATTTTTCTATCATTGTTAGTAAAATTAAGAGAGGACGTTTTAACAAAATGCTCCTGGTATTTAAGCCATTTCTCAGTTTGGCGAGTAACATACTTAATATTTGCTTAAATGTGATCTTTTGTGGGTCAGAATGTGATGTAACAGATCGTACCTTAAACTCTTCCTCTAGGCCGACCCGGTCACCGTTTGCAAAGGTGTTGTGCAGTTTGTGCAGATGTCCTTCCAGAGAAGACACGTCCAGCTCCGTGTCTCCGTAGAGGTAGTATTCAAGCAGGGCCTGGTAGATGAATGAGTACTGCATCTGAGGTGGGAATACACACAAACCGATGAACACACAAACACTATGCATAGGCAACAATTTACATTTTAGAGATGTTTGAGGAGGGATACATTGGAGGGAACTTGTGTCCAACTCACATCTGTCTGAATGAGCTGTGAGCGCTGCTCTCGTATCTTAGCGACAAACCCAAACACATCAACTTTCTGCTCTGCGTGCATCATGTCGATCATGGCATCAATTACGATGAAGGTTCCTGTCCTCCCGACACCAGCGCTGCAGAGACACAAAACAAACCACGACCCTCAGCCGATGCTCGCATGTTAGCAGACAACAGCAGTGAAACAAAGTGACGTCTGTGCTTGAAAACAAATGTAGTGCTGTAGTCACTCACAATGTTTCCAGACATAGCTCACAGTGTGTTTTCCAGCAGATATTTAACTCCATAGAAACAAATTGGATAATTAAAACCATTTAAAAGTGATGTTCAGGCAAAAGCGCCTAGATCCAAGTAAACAACAGCAAAATAGCTCAGCGCTCCGGTACCTGCAGTGGACCACAATAGGCCCAGCGAAGGGTGGATTGACCACTTTGACCTTTTTAAGGAACTTGAGCATGCCGATGGGGGAGAAAGGAACTCCAAAGTCAGGCCAGCTGGTGAAGTGGAGCTGGGTGATCAGCCTGGGAGTCTTAGCGGCATCGCTGGTTTGCTACATAGTGACACAAACGCAGGCAGAAAAACACAGTTAACAGTATTAAAAACAACTGCATAGGCAATCTGGATTATGTGTCCTGTGCTTCTTAGAATTTAGAATTAACATGTATACAACATATTTCACAAACACGAACACCCATGTTCCTGTTAAAATACAATTTCTATGAGGCACAGTAATTATTACACGAGCACTGTTTTAAACGCACATGTTGTATGCAGAACTTGCGTATGGTGTAGTCCACGAGGACAGTGAAGTCTTCCACCGCCACCCTCACATTCCCATAGCTCCAACAGCCCTGATCGGGCCAGTACTGGTGGCACTTGTCCTGGGGAGAGATGACAGCCGCGAGTCAGTGATAAAGTCCTCCTGCATAAACGAGTTGTTCTTCTGGAACGTATTCAAGGCTTTTTCTTTCAAGCAACAAAATGGCTCCCGTCAAATGCGTGACTTCACAAAGGTGAGCTTTACTAAAAGGTAATTACGCTTCAATTTCACAGACAGTCAGTCCAGATTAGTGTAAGTGAAGTCAATAGAAGTCCTCGCTGGGTGATGATGATACTGCCGTGGAGGACTTCATTACACATTATGGAGCCATCGATTTCCACATGCCGATTTAAATCTTCGCCAATTCTCTTCTTATTGATCTTTTTAGCCTTTCTCCCTCTCTCCTTGTTCAGAGAGGGAGTTCTGGTTCACAATAAGGGCTGAGCAATTATGGCGGAGAAAACGAGATGTCAGAGGTCCAGCTTACAGGTGTGAAATGAATTGTTTAAATTAAAACTCCGCGGTGTCACCTTTGACCATAACTAATGAAATCTATTTGAAGCACATTTCTTCTCAAATCTTTTTGTGATGCCCCATTAACCCCTTTTCGCTTGCCCCCCCCCCCCCCCCCCATCCCAGGGAAATCAGAGCAGAGAGCTGACTGGAGAAGAAACCCTGGAGCTCGTCATGCGGCTGAGACACATTTTTAGAAATAAAAATCACTCACTTCTTTCCTTTCTTTCAGATTTGTCAGCATGACAACAGTCGCTACTTTCTGCTCCCATATCATTCTCCAGAAATCCGCTACGGTGTCTTCTTTTGGACCTGTGAGACAAAATGATTATAATAACACATGATTTATAAAGACATACAATTAGTAATATATATATATAGATAACATAATTATGCATTTCCTTTCCAAGTGCACTATATCTTACCTTGTGCTGCTATGAATTTTTTCTTTTCCGTGTAACCCTGTTGGAGATGAATATTAAGTTAATTAAAAATGTAAAGCTGCAGAACAGCTACTAATGGACTTTGTGGTGAGATTGTCTCTTCAACTGCTGTTTCCAAGGTCAATCATTTTTAGGCCTCCACGCCGCATCGGCCGTGGCAACAATATGAATTAATAATTAATAATATTTGTCTAATAGAATAAAATGATAAAGTTATGACATTTTGGAGACATGGATGTAAACTGCAACGTGAGGCATTGAATTGCGAGGCCGTAATTCTAGTGTTAATTAAATTGAAATAAATCTTTTAAACCAAATTTCATGACAACACGGAAGAGAATTCCTTAATAAATGCTCAGAAAAACAACTTTTGAGATGAGACTGTTCGCAACCATCAACCTGATTTATCAAATTCAGTCACAACAAATCAGGCAATAAATTGTTATTTTGCTACATTGAGTGTTGTTATTTTACAAATGAATGTATCGTGTTCAGCAGGATGATGAAAAAGCATAACTCACATCAATGTAAGAAGCATTCACATAGTCTGAACAGGGATTCCCATCCAGCTGAGTCAACACCACTCTGGAATGATCATCTGTTGGTGAAAATACCATCGGAAGGTTTAGAGGGTTGCAGCAGAAAAACAACACAGAGAGTATTACACTATTATAGAGAGCGTTAAAGGAATAGTTAGACTTTTTGGGAAATACATGCATTTGCTTTCATGCCGAGAGTTAGGCAAGAAGATGGATATCGCTCTCATGTTCGAACGGTAAATATGAAGCTACAGCCTCCATGAAGACTGGAAATAATTGGGAACACAGCAGTCTCCGACGGTTGCCTGGCCACAGCTTCTGGCAAACAAATTGTACGGCACATAATAAGCCATTTTACGGGAGGTTTAGTACTAATTGATGTGTGCCATTAAAGAGAGTTATTTGTGGTTTACTAATTGTAATCATGAGTGAGAAGGGTACGCCGTTAGTAGGGTCCCCCCCCTCTCAATGCAGTCGGAGATTTCCGTAGCAGTCATCATCGCAGTCATTCACAAGTATGGCGGAATTTGAAAATGAATATCGTACAGGAAATTATAACTGGTATACTGTTTCATAAAGCACTAAGTTGCCAATTTTTGGTACAGATTTTGTAGAGATCCGAACAGACATGAAAGTGGTATCAAACCTTTAATCCAATCCTTTGAAACATTAGAATGCATGGGTAAGGACAAATAATAACGCAATGAAATATTAACGAGACAGAGACGAGTGACAGGAACTGCAACTGTATAAAGAGAGAAGGGTGAGGAAACTCTCGGGGCCGAGGTGTTTCATTGTGAATGAATACATGAGTTGTTGGGGGAGGATCTACTGAATCTGAAGTGAGACTAAGACTCATAAAGAACCAAAGACACTCGTGCGCACACACAGGCAGGAAACTGTGAGCTCTGGGTGTGAGGCAAAAAAGATCTAGTTGCTACAGAACAGAAAGTAAACTCACAAGGAAGGATGTTGGGGTATCTGTTCTTCTCCTTGTTGTTGTCCTTGTTGGCCTCCTCAGACGTCCCTTGTGCATTACCCCCTGGCAAGGACTGCAAATCAAAATTAAGTTACGTTCTACACAACCTCCCATACTGACTTTTAACTGCTCATGACCCGTGCATTGTGTTCCGCTGTATGTAAGGCTTTGTTCAGGCTCGATGTAGGCACTTCCTCTGCTACCTACAGTAAACAGTCCTCCATTAAAAGCAACTTCCTCTGTCTGTGCTGACAAACTGAATAAAATTATACTCAAGTGTTATATGAGTCAGTTACATGAGTCATGTATATTTTGACTCAGATACCCAATCATAGCCACCAATTCACAAAAGGGTATTTTTCATGGGTGTGCGGTTGTATGCGTACAGTATGTGTCATATAGACAATGTGACACAAAAAATACACATATAAGTCTGAATCCTCTGCCTTCTCATGAACACACAGCTTATTACAGTTCTACTGGGAAAACCCGTTAACTCCAATTTTAGATATTTTGTTGGTGGTTTTGTTGCCGCAAATTGAAGGCACAAAAAAAAGCAATAAAATGCGTTTGACATTTTGGAGACACAAAGTTACATATTAATAATAACAATTTAGGTATTTTGTTGTTTTCGGTAATTGTTGATTAAAATGAAAAAATATATTTGAGGGTTAAATAGAGTAAAACATAGATGCTGCCATTGCTGAATGTATGCACCGCAATGACTCAGTGCTTTAACCGCAGATGCCTGATAAAAAAGACGACTTCCAGCACTTTGTTCAGAACACAGACGACTTTTTGCTTACGTTGTACTCCTCCCTGAAGAGCTTGCCATCGTCAGCAGAGCGGAGCCTCTGCTCCTCCTCCAGGTGATCCACCGGCATGGGGAAGTAGGTCTTCGAGGCCGAAGGGGACCTGGGCAGAAGGACCACCGTCTGTTGCTCTGTGGGGAGAACAGTCAGTGGTTTTATTATCCCTGCCGGACTGATAGAGTTTAATACCACAGTGCCGAATTATATGCTGTGAAAATAACGAAATTATTTCATTATTACTTAATGATCGGCTCAGAGAAATTAATTCTAAAACAGGATTGGATTTCAATAGACCAGTGGTTCCCAACCAGATGTAGCCCCGTCAGATGACACACGACACCACCTGCTGTTATCCAACACTAGTTGTTACAATAATGTTTTCATACAACTGAAAGTGCTCAAGCTGTTTGCTCGAATATTTTTTTTTACAACTACTAGATGGAAGTATCCATTTTTTTATTTTTTTTTTAAACTAACCTCTTAGTTCACTTGCTAACCAGTTTCCCCTCAATCTCAGTAGCAACACGTAGCGTTCATATATCCTTCATGACTCCATACACGGACATATACTTTAGTTTCTACAGTACCCCTGGTTGGGAATCACTGAATTAGACGATACGCTTATTGAATTACTCTTCAAGGATCTTCACAAACAGCTCATCAAAAGACCAAACTGACTTAAAATCTTAACACATGTTGGTGTGCGTTTGCCAACACCTTAATAAAAATTTTAAAAAAGGGATGCGAGTATTCGATGATCATCACCAGGCATTAGAACAGCAAAGGACCCCAGGGAGAAGCCACTTACAGCACTCCGGACACCCCTCAAGGCATTCTGTTAGCACTCAAAATTTTGGAAAATGTAGGTTAAATAAAATACTAAGAAGAGTGTTAGTAACATGAGGGTTCTGATACCGCCACCCTGAACTGTATACCTGACCTGGTGGCACAGTGGTGTATAAGGACTCAGTACTGTATCCAAACTCTAAAACACAACACATATCAAATCAGCACACACACACGTAGAGTCATAAAGGCAAAACAATAAATCTTATTAAATATAGCATTTGATTCATTCTGCCGACATCATGCTCATAAAACAGAATGCAGTTACTGTGCACCAACATAAGACCCTTCTGCAGTGTGTCATGTTTGCGATCACAGTAATTAGCAGCTCAGCTTATACCTCGATATTTGCTCCGTGTTTGTTACAGACACTTCTGGGTGTGCTGTGTGTTTTCCCAGCTATATATCCTAGTTGCATTCCTATCTGCAAGAATACAACCTGCTCTGTACTTTCCATTGTAATGTCAGATAAGAGAATACTTCCTAAAGAACACTTGCAGCTCCTCAAGACGCGGCGCTTCCTGTAAAGCCCAATTGCTGTTAACACACTTCACACTTGATCGGCTCTTTGCTTAAATTATGCAGATCAAAGCCGACAACCGAACGTTTTACATGCGGTGTCAAAAAGTAATAAAAGGTGGTGATGATAACACATTTCTGTTCCTCATATTAAGCACAGGAAGTACACAACCACAATGCAGTGGGGGGGGGGGCAATACATAAAGCTCTCCTACTGTCTTTCTTAACCTCTTTCTCTTTCTTTGCCTCATGTTTCTGTACGTCTCTCTCTTTGGCATTCTCATTATGCTTCCTTTGACTGCCAGACTGTCACGCTCACAATCTACAATCTGTCTCGCTCTTTCTAAAAATGTCCAATTTACAACAACGTTACCTTGTTCCTCCAAGATGCCATTTGGTATCTTCTTGTCAACTGTTGTGACGACTGCTTTTCTCTGGTTTTTTAACCTGCCAGAAAAAAAAAATACAATAAAATGAGAATAACAATGATGCCACTGTATAAGTTTAACTTTCTTTTTAAACTCAGAGCTACAAAATACTTGAAGATCTCCCAAATTATGTAGGTAGTCATGAACAAAAGCCGATCCAACCTACCATCTTAAACTTGAAAAGCTATTCTTTCTCATTAGCTGATGTCTTGGAAAAACAGTGCTCTAGTCCGAATGTGGTTCAGAATTTGTTCTCTTCTGTTGCCCGTTTAGGTCCACTGTCACAGCCTGGCTGCCTGCTCTCTTCTCTCTAAGCATGAGAGGGAGTCAGCTAGTAGCACTTCCTGACTGGGCTCCGCCTCAATGACTAAAGGAGGAAGTGTTTGTCACCCTGAGCTCTGCCCCCTGGAGCCCAGATCACAGCCAGTCAGCGAGGCCCTGGGAGGGGATGAGGTGAGGTGGGTGAGTCCTTGCAAAGGGTGGGAGATTTTTTTTACCTGAGGAAGTACCAGGCTAGCAGTGCGATGATGAGCAGCAGCAGGGACAGGACCAGCACGGTGGGGAGGATGTGGTTGCTGTGGGATGGAACGTCTGCTGAGGACGGTGGAGAAGCAGAGGGGGGGGGGTCAGGGAGCACCGTCAACAAAGAAGCAGGAAGACGGAGCAGGGCGACGATATACGTGTATATGTTTGAGTGTGCAAATGAGTGGCTGCATTAATGTGTTTGAGCCATGTGTATATTGCATTAAAACAAATCAATACTTGGCACATCGGATGTACTCCTCTGCTCGCAGGTCTGATTTAATAACTGGCCTCTGCAGTATGTTGTCTACAGAGATAAGCATCAGCTCATTTCGTACTGTCTGACAGAAAATGAGAGGCTCAAAGAGTGGCGACTCAGCCAAGAGTCACGGCCACACAGCCAACTGTTAGCTGTGTTTATAAAGACGCACAATGAGCCATAAATTACAGTCCAGAGCTGCTGAAGGTAATTGTGATCCGGTAATAACGAGGCTGTAGAAAAGGCTGTTACCAAGCTGCAAGACACATAATAATCATATCTTAGGGAAAAGTGATGACTGCAGTGGTTGGCAATGGGATTTTATTGCTAGCTCAAATCGTTCAATGTTGTTTAGTCTCACATGTCGAGGTGCATCGCCCTTGTTATTACGCTTACCTTGTGTATGGTTGCCATTGCCGGTGGAATTGGATGTTGTTGTGGTTGCCACCAAAAACAGAAGTGGGACCATTGTGGCTGCAGAAAAACAAAATGATGGAGGATATTGAATTTAGTGCCAGGCATGTCTGCAAAGTAAAGACTCATGCTAACATGGAAGCTGGATAATTTCGCCATTTAGGGAACACAAAAGCTATTGACAGATCTGAGGCATATTTCTTTAATTATGACGGTTGCTTTCAGGAATGTGCTCATCGGTGCAAAGTTCATGGAGACACAATGGAACAACACTCTCACATCCTGGTCATTCATTAGCCCTGTCATAAAGCTCACACTGTAATGCCTAACATGTCCACATGGGGGCACAATACTTCAATATTTGAAGAACAAGCCTGGCCCCGATAACACTCGCACCAACCCATTGAGAAAAAAAATTCAAAAGATAACATCCAGGCCAAGGAAACATCATTATGTTTCTGATTTAAATGTCTATTAAAGAAAAAACACATGTCCACAAATACCATTATTGTAACCATTCCATGCTTACCTAATTCAATGCTCCTTACTACTGTAATAAGGAATATGCTCATGCTTTAATCGGGGCATTATCAGATTGAGCAAAGAGAACTTGAGTGAATGCCACTCGGATAAGTTGATGAGCTGACAACAGCTTTCAGCCATTTCCTCCGTGGCAATGTGTGATTTGCCACGTGTGATTTCCAGGATCTAGCATGTGCAGGGTCTTAGTGAAATCACAACACACACACACACACACACACACAGCGCCATGAGCTCTGTCCAGAGCCCCTACACACAGTGACATCGAGGAGTCTCAGCTGAATGACTCTGATCATTCCTTCATTTTCTCCCGGTAGAAGAATGCAGAGGAGGGAGGATAAAGGAGCATCTCTGATCGACTCTAGCGTTTGAGCATTCAGAATGGGTTTCACATCACATTGATTTACACACCGCTTTTTCTTTTGAAATTTGCTGGTAAGGTTTGACAACCAATAATCCTTGAGATTTTTGCAGTTTTAAAAGGTGTTGTTTTATTTATTTTTTCCACAAAAGTTGGAATCCAAGCAATGAACGCCAGCACAGAGCTGCTATCACTCCATAATGAAGCAGAGCAGAGTGTGCTTCGTCTCCCCAAGGCTGCAGGTGTGTGTGGTGCTTTGCAGCTGCGGTGAAAAGAAAGCCCAAGCCAAGTGCATAGTCAATGAAGACACTGTGTGTTGAAGCCTCCACGCTGTGCCGCAGTGTCCTATAATGTGTCCAGACAGGACACCGGTGGAATGTGGAGACAGCAGAGCAGAGACACTGACTGCAGCAGGGAGAGAGGGAGCAGAAGGTCCAGGTCAATAATATTTCCTGGAGCGATTAATAAACCCTGACATGTCCCTCCGTTCCATGGGGGAGACTGATGAGAGAATTCTAATGAGAGAAGAGAGGAGAGGAGCAGCGTCCTACCCGCTTCTCCAGCTCTCCTCCCTCTTTAAGGCTCTCTCTGCAAATGTCGCAAGCTTGGATGAGGGGGAGGTTATTGAGCCGAGTTAGTGTGTATGTGAATCCTTAGGGCAGGACTTTGTGTATAGGACTTGAGGTTTTGTGATGTGGAAATTCACTTATGGTGCCGTTTGGGACTTTCCGCTACACATGCTGCAATGAAATTTATGTATGCTGAGTCTGTTTGTTTATTTGTGTGTTCGATGGCTCAATGGGGACAGCCAGCAGACTGCTCATAGCTAGTCCTAAGGCTGTCTTGTGGTAAAGTTCCCTGCTTCCTCTTTCCCCTCCATCACCTCTAGAGATGTCACCCTGTCCCTGGGGGACCAAAGCCCGTTCCCCCCACTGCTCTCCAGCTTTTCCCAGCTTGTCTTTGCAGTGGTCTCCAGTCTGCATCTCTTCAGCATCTCTGAGGAGAACGCCAACTTCCTTTCTTCCGTCTTTAAGGGGAAATGTCCCTAGAATAACTATAAATAACACTGCTTCCCATTCCTCGGGATATCTTATCTCGACTTCTCCATTTCTCCTCACTCAGCATAAACCAGTCAAGACCATGGGTCTCAAATTAGACTATTAGCATTAGTCATCATTTAGCTTAGGTCAGACTCTGGGCACACAGCTATCATCTGTGTATTGTCTTTTCTCCATTTAGCACTCTGTAGCTACCCACCAGCAATCAGCCATATTAAAAATAGGTCATGGGAGATGTCAGCGCTGGGGAAGTTCTAAGGCGTCCTTATTTTTCAATAGGAGACATTTACAAGTGTGTCTTGGAAAGCATAGAGTTCTCCCTGTCTCACACTGGGTCAGTATCGACTTGGGCTGCAGAATGGGAGGCCTTAACTGTGTTGACAGGACCTCCAACACCAATTAAATACAATGAAATTAGAACACAAGAACAATGAACTTAAATCACTGCAGACTTATCAGAATATGTGAGTGTACTCATTCATCTTATCCTCTCCATATTGGCCATGAGGCGATCCCTTCTTGATATGATTCCAATGAAAGTAAGAGATATATGACTTAGCCAAATCAAATAGGTATCCTCCAAATGTAGTGTTTTTAATAAAAAAAATCCCTTATTGTTTTTCCTTGCTGAGCTACAGGAGAGCGATTGAGTGGATTGCATTGTGATTATGAAGTTGTTATCCTTTTACTTAATATTGTTCTGTGAAAAACTAAAATAATATATAACAGAAATGTAGTCATAGATGATTAAAGCATTTGTATGATGTACTTAAAATTGCATGTTTCTTTTTGCTACAGTCCTGTGCATTCCTTTGAGAAAAAGTCAGCACATAAAAAGGGAGAAATGTATACTTTCAGGTTCCATTATTGCACACCATGTCTGTGCAGAATGACGTTGGTTCTCCGTCTGCATATTTGTATAACTTGTTTTCATACAACAATATATTTATACAATCATATTGCTTCATTAAACTGTATTTGCATAAAATAACGTCACTGTTTCACCAAACACAGATGCATTAAGAGCACGACAACAGCCTTCCACACAAATACAGGAACAGCCACAGACTTTGAACGACAACCCACATTAGCTAACAATGTCCACTATGTGTTGGATTTGAACTACCAACCCATATGACACTGTGGCAAACAGCACACAGAGTGAGTGGGTTAAAAGCAAAACACAGAGTACAGCAACTTTCACTGGGACCAAATTCAACACGTATAAACTTTAACTTTAAATGTCAATATCCAATATGCATTTTTTTTTTTCTTGCCATACCAGAAAAGTATCACCTAGCCCTGCTTACATACTGTATATGACAACACCTCAGCCGCTGTCATGTGTTCATAGAGACCTGCAGCACCTGGTATGCGCTGTGTGACTCACATCTCTGTCTCCACTGATTACAACCTGCCGCCTCTAAATACCTACAATCCTGACAGCATACAAGCAAAAAATGCGGACACGCACACATGTACATATATCAGAATATCACAAAGCAACATAGAATACAAGCAGGCCTCTCTTTGCTTCTTTATCCTTGCTCCAAACATGAAGAAGGCAGAGTGGGAATTCTGACTCGAACAAACTGAATCTTGTGTTATTTTCAGTCCCAATCCAGACAGCTGATAAATGTTCTTGCCTGACAGTGTGTTGTTTGTGAGGATGAGCTATACATCCCTATGGTCTTGTGTTTTCCTTTGTGGTGTGCTTCCCTGCTCTCTCATTCTTTCAGTCCGAGTTGTGAAAAGTGACATAATCATACCCTTGCAGATCTACAATTTTGTCTCAATAATTAGCCTCAGAAACCTAGCCATCAAAAAAAAATGACAAGCTCGTAACAATTAGAAGATAAGACGGAGAAATTGTCCGTCTCTGCCTCTGACAGGAACACGGTGTTCCGTTGCATTGTGTCGTCCCTTAGACAGAGCACTGTCAGTTCCGCTGAATGTGGTTTCTCTGGGCACAGTCGCTCTGTCCCTTCAAATACATCAGCTGGGGAATTCGGAAAATGGGTGGTGGGCGTAGGGGCGATATGATAGGGAGAGTGGGCAGTAGGTACATTGTGTCCTCTGAGGAAAAAGCTGCCAGACTGTTTACCCTTTAGGCGACTAGGTTTATTTTTTCTTTTTATAACTGAAACCTGCAAGATGGCTTATTAGAGGAAAAGAAACCAGTAACCTAAAGCCTTCTGTGCAGTTCCTCACAGAATTGGATGAGAGGATCGATACCATTCCCACATCTCTACGTTATTATGAAGCTACAGCCAGGAGACGCTTAGCTTAGCATGAAGACTGGAACCAGGGCAAAAAAGAAATCGGTCTGGCTACCAGCACTTCTAAACCTGACTAATCAACATGTTATATCTTGTTTATTTAGTCCATAAAAAGGGTAAAAAGCGACAAGCTGTGTGGCTAGCTGTTTCCTCCTGCATCCAGTCTTTATGCTAAGCTAAGCAAACAGTCTCCTAACTGTCGCTTCAAATTGAACAGACAGATCTGAGAGAGGTATCAATCTTCTCATCAAAGAAGAGAACGCAAAACCAGACTTTGTTAAATGTCAAACTTTTCCTTTATACAGACTTCTAAATGCACATAGAAACATTATGATAAATGTGGCCAGGCAGATACATACTCATCCTTCCTTTCTCTTAGTTAGCGGCTCGCTCGCTGAGGTGCTACCAAAATGTCCCCGGTGAGCAAAATAGTGAAGCCTTTTTTATAGGACAAAGCTACAACAGCTGATCGGTGCGATGGCGAGTCACGTCGTGGTTGGATGCTATATTATTTTCGTTTCTGTGTCTACAGAAACAGGTGTCAAATTTGTTCTGTAGTATTTGGTTACCATGGCAGAAAGGTGTAGAAAATGTGGGAGACGTGTTAGGGAGAGCGTGACGTTATAGAATTTGTGTTTGTGTGTGTTTTATACAGTATGTGTGATTTCCCAATATGTTGCACAGTACTACAGGCTTAAGAACATATTGGTACAATAACAAATGTACCTAACTTTACTGAAATGCAATACAAAACCACTGGAGTACTCTTAGAACTCTATGTGTTTGGATTTCAACTGTAATCTTAACGATATAAAGAAAACC